TTTCTGTGGCAGAAACTGGCTTCCATATTAATTTGATCAAAAGTGACTGTAAAGACATAATGTCACAAATGTTTTCCGTTTCAAACAGATGTTCTTTTGAACTTCCTTTTCACTGAAGAATTCTGAAAAAAATCTCATGGTTTCAGGCTCACAACTGTTTTCAGCATTGGTAATAATAAGAAATGTTTCTTAAAGCAGCAAATCAGCATATCAGAATGATTTCTGAAGGATCAAGTGACTCTGAAGCCTGGAGTAATGATACTGAAAATTCAGCTTTGCATCACAGGAATAAATTACATTTTAATATATGCTTAAATAGAAAACAGTTATTTTAAAATGTAATAATTTTTCACAATATTAGACTTTTCACTGTATTTGTATCATATAAATGCAGCCTCGGTGAGCAGAAGAGACTTCTTTCATAACCTTCACAAAAACGTCTTACCAACCCAAGACTTTTGAATAGTAGTGTACATGCAATCAGATATTTTTGGCCTTACATTTGTTCCTAACTAGTTGACTAGTTATTCAGACGACCCACCGAGTACTTGAATTTGAAAATATGTAGTTTCGCACATCCCTATTATCAACATTGCTGTTCGGTTTAGAGTGATTAACGTTTAAAAAACAGTCACAGACAGTAATCCGGGTCATTTACCGCTTTAATCTCTCATCTCAGCCGTTATGCTTGCAGTAACCATGGCCGCAGTCATTTTGCTGAGCTAGATTTGAATTGGAACATAGATGGCAGTTGGATGCCCGACCTGACCTCATCCGCCATGCCAGCGCTCCGACGGCCAATCAGAATGCGCATGGGCCGCAGGCTGTCTCTGTCCACTTCTAAATGCCTCTGCCCACCGCCGTCTCATATTTTATGCTCTGATTCTTATCATACTAGCTAAATATAACCACAGGATACACACCACCTTTATGATACTCGATTTTCTGGATTATTTAATGATTGCCATTTCCTCTCAGCTGTTCAAAGCTGACTTGTGTTTGATCGGCTGGGATTCTGGGAAATGTTCAGATGCACTCATGCGAATGCACACATACACACACATACACAGTGAGAAAGAGAGAGGATAGAACACTTACAAAATGTACTGTACATGGTACATCAGGTGGAAATACTATGGTACTTTTGAGATATATCATGGTATTGGAACTCATGTGTCATTGTATTTACATGGTAATTCCAAGAATATGGTACATGTCCTTAATACAGTTGCTACATAATCAGAATACCATGGCATTGTCATGATAATACCATGGTATGTGTTAAAAATACCATAGTAGTACCATGGTCAAATGATACCATGTATAAAATATCATGGCAATACCATGGTAAAATGTGTAAAATAGGTAGTGCTATGGTACATTTTCAATTTACCAGTACCATGGTAAAATGTCCAAAATACCATAGTAGATACCATAGTAGTACCTTACTAACAGTTCCATGGTAAAATGTTCAAACTACCATAGTTGTATCATGGTAGCATGATTAAATATCATGGTAAAATGTCCAAAATACCATGGTATAATGTTCAATGCCATGGTAGTACCGTGGTAGAATGTCCAGAATACCATAGTAAATACCATAGTAGTATCATGGTACCATGTTCAAAATACCATAGCAGTCCCATGGTAAAATGATCAAATTACTATAGTAGCATCATGGTACCATGATCAAATACCATGGTAAAATGTCAAAAATACCAAAGTAGATTTTATAGTACCATGGTGCCATGTTTAAAATACCATAGTAGTATCATGGTATTATGTTCAAATGTCACAGCAAAATGTCCAAAATACCATATTACCCCGGTTCCATGTTCAGAACACCATGGTATTAGTACCATGGTAAAATGTCCAAAATACCATGTACATTTTTTTGTAAATGAAAGAAAGGCAGAAATATACTGTGGCAGTACCATGGTAATACCATAGTGTTTTGATATATTGTGTGGTACTAAATGATTACCGTACTAAAATACTATGGTAATTTGAAGAATGGTATTACCATAGTATTTGTGTTAGTTGAAAGAGTAGATGTTTATATTTTCCCAGACAGAATATGTATGTATAGCAAATGTGAACAAAGCGCTAAAAGGCATTTTAATCATATACTGATTAATTTATTAAGTCTGTCGGGACAGTTCATCCCAAACCGAGTCATGAAGTACATGAATTTGAAGAATGTCCCATTTTTTTTTCTTTTTTTTCTTAAAACAATGAAAAAGGAAAAAAGAAAGAAGAAAGAAAAATCTAGCATCAATACAGACACACATTCAAACACTGCTTGCCAGAAAGACGCATATGGTTTCTTTTAGATCACGTATGTTTTTTGTTTTTCTCGCATCTAAAGAAACGTCAGATGACAGCTTAGCACTTTAAGTACCACTTTAAAGTTGAGGTTAAGACCATTTGATTTCAAATGTACCAAAAAAGAAAAGAAAAACAAACATAAAAAAAATGCTAATGCAAGCAAATAACTGTATGTTCAAACATCCGTTCGATGCAAAGGACCGATCTAGAGTCAGACTGCAAGACATGAACTGAACCGAAAGTTCTGACTCCGTAAAAAAAAATCGTTCGATCCTTTCGCAGAAACTTCCGATCACAAGCAATGATGAAACGTTACATGATATATCCTTGATTTTCTTCTCGGTTGATAATAAAGACACAGGACTGGATGTGAAGGCTTGCATACACTTTGAATCAAGCGCTGTCCTGAGTTGCTCTGGTGGTTCTGGTTCAAACGTCAAGGTTCTCTAATCCCATCCAGACCTAAAAACAAGGCAGTCCGAAGGAGATGACATGCTCTGTCTCGAACAGCAACCTTTCGGAAAAAGGGAAGAAACAAATTCTCAAATCTCTGTCCGTGTAAACACGACCAAACGAGTGAGCGTTAAGCACGATAAACGGTTCAAGCACTTCCTTTGCGTTGCAATTCTACCGTCGGACGGAAAAAAACGCGATAAAGTATTTGTCGTTGCAGTGGCTTGGTCTTCCCTCTGTTTTGACTGATATGTTAGGCAGAGGTTAAGGAGTCCCGCCCCGTTCCAGTGCGGCCCCTGGCAAAAATGAGGTCTCAAATCGATCTCAAAGGGAGCAAAGCAATACTGCACTGCCGATCCGACAGGACAAACGAAGCGGTGCTTAAAAACAAACGAATAAACGGAAACAAAAGCAACAACACAATCCATAATTAAGGCTATTAAAAATATTGCAGAATATTTTGGCCCCTGTTTTTGAGACAGACTGCCACAACAGTCAAAACTTCCCCCACTTACATATCACTACAAAATATTTAGAGCAGGGAGGGAATAATAATAATAATAATAATAAAAAAATCGTAAAAAGAAGAAAAAAGATCCTCTTTGGAGTCTTTATTTGGTTTGGGATGCTTTAAAGGTAATCGTAAATATTTCGGTTCGAAAATAAATAGATTGGAGTCAAACGAAAATCCGGAAAGTAAAAAAAACCGCAACATTTTTTCATGTTTTCAGCGTGCACTTGTAAAACCTAAAGGTATAGCAATCAGCGATTTCCACGTCAAACGGTGGCACTGGATGGTGCAATGCACCATGGGATCCTTGCAATCCCGCAAGCCTCTCGCAAGTCCTACAGCGGGTGCACCGGGGCCAATGGGACAAGAGAAGGGAGTTTTGGAGGGAAATGCACCCCTCGTCTCTTGGAGGGGGGAATCAAAGCAAAGGCCCTCGCTGTTCTCCTTGAGCGAGACGCAGGTCGAGAGCCAAAGTCCGCAAGTTTAGGGTGTTTACGCCACCGTGTCTTGTGGCCGTGTGACTCACACCCACTCCTGCATGGAGCGTTTGCAGTACAGTATGTGTCGGGGCGTCCCCTTCCTCTTGAACTGAAAGACGGTGTAGATCAACACCAGCAGGCAGAGCGCCAGGACGCAGGGAATGACGATGGCGATGGCTTTGACCGTGCTGGCTTCGTTGTCCAGTTTAATCACCACGTCCTCGTCCTCCGTCGGCAGCATGTCGGGGTCGATGGGCATGAGGTCGCATCCCATGAAGTCTTTGAGGATGGAGCGAGGGTAGCCGGGCTCCACCCGCAGCCTGTGGTTGTTGAACTTCCAGTACTCTTTGTCCTTGTAGAAGTAAGTGAAACCTGCAAAGCATCGACACAGGAGACATTTGTAAGTTGTTTTTATATTTATATTGGATATTTAATTTTTTGTGCGTTTCCATCTATTTTGACATTTTTGATTACTTCTGCGGTCATCTAACACTTAATCAAGTAAGTCTTAAGTATAAACTTTAGCAAACCTCAAAGTGAATATCTGTTTTTCATTTTGTACATTATAATATAGTGATGCCTAAATTCACTTGTCGCATTTAAATTGATTCAGGGTTATTAACTAAAATTAAAACCATAAAATAAACTTTTGTTACTTGAAATAAAACTTTATTTTATCTGAAAAAAAAAAACTTTATCTGAAATATAATAATTAAAAAAAAGTTTTTATATCAGTCATTTAAATCAGCTACAGTAGCTATCAAGGCAACATTTTTCTCATTTTCATTTAATTTAACTTCGCATACTAAAATAACTAAAACTAAAACTGCTATAAAAATGTATAAAAACTATACAGACATATTTAAAAAGCTAAAAAAAAAATGTCAAAAGCACACAGCAAAATTACTAAAACTAAAATTAAAATAAGAACAGGAAAACTATACAGACCTAGTTAAAAGCTAATAAAAATGACAAAACACATCTACACAATTACTAAAACTAACTAAAATTAAAATGAGAACAGAAAATATAAAAACTAAAACTAATTAAATATTCAATAATATATTATAAAATTAACAAATATGTATTTTAAAATATCACAATTATATTTTATATCATTATAATTTTATGAAATATAAAATACATCAATTTTTTATGTTTGTTTTTAAAATCTAAAAATATATGTTTTTTATATAATTTAACATTTTGTTTTTTGTTTTTTAAAATCATTTTTCTATTCATTTTTCATATTTAGTATATATGTATAATAAATATATGTAAAATGTATTTAAAAAGTTTTTTCAATGACCAAAAAATGTTTCTTTTCATTTCGTTTCGTTTCGTTTCGTTGTCCAAAGTGTCATCAGACCTGTCATCTATTTTTGGGTTATTCAGTTCCAACTGGCATTGACATTGAGCCATGGTGCACATGTGGGTGATGCAAGCTCCAATCTGAGATTAATCTTGATCTCATCTCTCTGCTAATTTCCTGTCACTTTCCACTAAATCTGTTGAACAAAGATTCTAAATCCTGGAAATAAAAATGTTCCAGACTGGAAGAGGGGCTCAGTGTGATCTAAAAAAGCGTGATCTGAAAGGCTTATCGTAAGACCACGGGTTATCGTAACATCGATACCAGCATTAAAACTTGACTAGAGCGGAGGAAAAAAATGCTATCCTTTCCCATCTCCCCATGATCGGCTGGCCATGATGACACATAATTAGGGTCAATTTTCTTGACTCTGTCTCGCCCACAGAGGCCTTTTGGGTAACGTGCAGAGACAGGGCTGAAAGAAAGCCCACAATCACTTTAAAAGTATGGTTAGCCAAACAATTTCCCTGGAATATCAATCCACCCTTCACGCTCAGATGAGCGCCTGCGTCCACGGGCAAACCTGGCAGTGGGGCTGGGTACAGATGGCATGTGCGTGGCTGTCGACCTGCGCGCCTGCAGCTATGGACTGAACTCATGCAAGACGTCCCCACCCTGAGAGCTCCTGCCAGAGACATTCACACTCGCCCCCAAACACACAACCTTTCAGAACTGTGCTCTTGTGCAGAATGAAAATAGGCCAGTGTAAACGAGAATGACACTGCTGCATAATGGACAGAAAAGATTTGGAGTCAAATGCAAGATGATTTTAGATGCTGCATGGTGTCTTTGTAGTCTAAATTAGTTCGCTAACAAGTCTTTATTTAAGTTTTGTATATGTTTAGAGTCTTTGTTGGTTTTTTCCTTTTTCTGAAGTGCTTTTTATGTTGGTTCCAAATTGGGTTCCAAATTCTTTCTCTGCCATTGTTGCTTTTTTATTATGAATGTACTGGAGAAACGACAGGAAATTATGGGAAGATGGTGAGGACATGAGGTTTGGAAATGTTGCAAGCGGGATTCAAACTTGTGTCACCTGCATGAGCACCACAGCACTAACAACTAGATGAAAAAATTCAACTGAAAATACCAAGTTATGATCTTATTAAAGAGTTAGTTGGTTTAAAATGAATGTTTTGCCACCATAAAAGTGGTCTGTGTGACTTGTGCACAATATTTCAAGTTTTTCTATGCATTAAATTTGAAAGCCAAGGCAGAAGGGATGTTAAATATTAGTGTGTTCCTCACACAAAGCTAATTTATGATTTCAAAAGACTTGGAATATGGTACATTGGTCATATAGATCATTTTTTGCAGTTCAAAAGCATCCCGAATAGAAGAAAGAAATTCTTATGGATTTGAAACGACATGAGGGTGAGTAGATAATTAAAATGTTGATTACATTTACAAGTATAAGGCGTAAAAAAAAAACCTTGTTAAAATGGCCAACAACTTAAACTAGATTGGATGATTACATAATAAAAAATGACAATAAATTATATTACAAATATTACAGTACAGTGTTAGTCAGTTTACGTAGATTTAAAAAATAATTTCTATTCTGAATGAACAATGGAGCTAAAGAAAAAAAAAAAAGTAATATATCCAATACCTGCATATAGATAAACAGAGAAAGTTAAAACACACACATGGCCGAGCGCACGTACACATACACATACACACACACACACACACACACATGCATGCTGTGCACATACCTATCTCCTTTGAAGAAGTAGGTCTTGGCCACGTCCTCCCACCAGACGGCTGTCTCTATACTCTGCGCTGGCATGCCGTTTCCAAACATTGAGATGTCCTGCGGGTAGCCAGGCTGTAGCATTGTGTCCTTGAACACCCAGAACTGCTTGCCTAGAAAAAGCACAAGAACATCAGAAATTACAGTATTCAGCCCAGGGTAGATTTAGAGAACGTTCAGTCATTCTGCTCAGTCAAAGAAGGAAAATGCAAATCATGGTTTCTATAAATTCTTTATGACTTCCTGATTTGTTCAAGTGTGGCTCCATATACCGCTGAGGGGTTTGCTGATTTTGGACAATTTATTGATTATATATTGTGATGATTTCAATGCACTTTTTCGCCTATTACATTCCCTGACGTCTGTGTTATCAATGGCATAGTGATTTCTTTCTGTGACTTTTGAGTATAAGTGTTGACAAAAATGCTTTAATATTGTGTTGGTGTTTATTTAGTGAACGACGGTGAGGAAAATATGCCTTGATTGATTATACTGTATTTTGTTGTATACTTTACGAACCGTAATGACTTTGTTTGGTTGGTTTGGTTACATATTCTTTTGTTTGGTTTAAATATTTTAAGCCATTTAACAGCAAATACATAAATACATGTACTGTACATTATAAAATAAAAAAAAGATTAAAAAAATAATCTATTGAGAACATTACAGTAAACATTTATTTATTTATTTTTCTCTAAATTTGAAATTAAAAGCAGTATTAGCTTAATATATAAATACTTTACAATACTTATTATTAAAATAATTAAAATAATGATTATAATAGTATAAATAATTATAAATATTATAAATAAAAATACATATTATACATATTACTATAAATTTACACATATTATACATATAAGTATATTATAAAATATTTAAATATTATTA